TCTCACTTTGAACTATCACCGGTATTATTTCATTCGTTCCACTCGTCATTCTAAATCACTTCTGTTTTGCAATGTTAAATTCTGCTATTAAATTTCACACAGTGTTACGTAATGTTTTTATTTTATTCGATTTGCCTACTAATCCTATAATTGCACACCCATTTCAAGTCCCAAATATCCTATGAATTATTTTATGTATGACATTAATTGTTTTGCCACTTGACATTTAACTATGATTATAATCACAAACAATTTAATTACATTTCATACTATTATTTTTTTATGCTTTCAAACCTATGATTTGATCCCCTCACCGGATATAACTTTTTAAAAACAATATGCATACGATTGTACAGCTTGATAGTAAATTCGTTAAAAACAGTCTCTTCGCTGAATCACTTCTTTTGATTTTCTAAAAGCAAAGTAATCATTAAAAATAACAAAATTACAGGGAACGATTAATGAAAAGGTCGAGATTATGATAGAATAAGAGACTGGACAAACGTTTTCTGCATTCAGAGTTCGGAGTTGTATTGACGAATTGCCGACGCCTACACCATACACAAATATTGAAACCTGACGCCCTTTTGTACCATTTGGCTCTAGCTTGTAGATAATCTTGAAAGACAACTCTGGTGGCGCTACGGGGTTTGAGTTCATCAGGTGCTCGAGAATTGAGACAGTCAATGTCTTGTATCGTCCTTTTGCTAACCATGCCGAATAATGGTCAGAGGTGAGTTTGGAAAGTGTGCTCATTGTGCGGCTCCTCAGGAGCGGGTGGATTTATAAACACACACTGAAGTGGCCTAAAAAGCACTTTTTTCTTCACACATAGACTGATCATTTGTCGGTTGTAGAAATTGATCCGTAGCTCAGCAGCAAATAAGGCTTTCCTCAGTAATCTGGATAAGCAGTTCTTCAGAATCTCAGATGTAGTATCACCTTAAAATTAACTTTCATGAATAGCACTTTCGTCTGCACTGTTAGGGTTCTTTCCGGTTTTCGCCTTACTTTCATGTTATTCTCGATGAAACTTGAAGAATATCCATTTTTCCATGAGGACATGTCTGAGTATCTCCAGTTCGTCATCGATTATATCACTGGCAGATATCCGTCTTTTTCTTGAGGATTAGGAGTGGATCAGATTTCTCTTTCTTCTCAAAGGGATCCAACTATGAAAATTCTTGTATTGACCATTCTGTGTTGGTTCCCTGTAGATTAATCTTTGAAAGGAACCGTCAGATCTCTTTTTTGGCAAAACATCCGAAATGAATGAAGTTCCGTGTTCATCTCTGACTCCAACGTGAACTGGATAGCATGATGGTAGTTGTTGAACTCCCTAGTTATCATCTCGATGTTGGCGTTCTCATCGCATTTGATTAAAGTATCATCCATGTGTCTTTGATACATGTGAAAACTACTGATAGTGCATCGTAACATACTATGCTCTATACGTATCTGTTCTTATCTGTGTACTTAAGTTTCCTGTTGTTTAGTTGAATTTACTGGACAGATTCCCTGACCCTGTTAAAGTTTTTCAAGTGATCGGTTTACAATTTAAACCCCTTTAGAGAATCATCTCTTACCTAGATTCAAGTATGTGTAATTGATGAATCTTCAGTAAGGTAGAATTTATATCCTAAATTATACGATTATTGATTACTGAGTAAATATTGATCAATATTTAACAATATTTACTGATTCTACTGGTATTGGTATGTTGATTATTGTTGAAAGGTATACAACTCATTGTATTACTTTATGTCTTATGATTATGAATATAAGAGATGTGTTGAAGTACTTCCTGACTAGTTATTAGTTGGTTAATGAGACAGATAAACCTGTCATCAATATGAAATAATTAACAGGATATTGAAAAACAGTGAGATTTGATACTCATTCATGATTTCACTATATCATGGTGGTAAAAAGAGAGAGAGCATATCACGTGTCACATATTTAATACAAAAAAAATATTAGAACTATACTATGGTTCATGATTCATTTGAAACGTTGCAATATACACTAAGTAAAATCTAACTGATTTTCCGTATTTCTAATAAGTAGACAAAGAACTGAGTAATCCCTTTATTTTATAGTGAACTAAAGTCCAGTTATTTTCATGTTATACATAGAACACTTTTATATAAATTAACTGAACTCATTAGTATTTCATTGGTGGATGGTGACTAGCAGTGTAATCCAGGATGCACATTTCGTCCAATTTGGGACTCGTCATCTGGATCAATCAACGGGAAAATAAAAAAAATTCAATTGAACCCATTAGTACTTTGTAATTTAAGATTAATTCTCATTAAACTCACTGGAATGATGTTCATGAAAGTAGGCACCTGTGAAGTAAGATAAGATAAGATAAGCTTTATTCCAAATCAGTACTTGTGATACAGAATGGAATTCTTAGCATTTTACTACAATATTGCATCCAGTTAGTACATTAACAATAAATATAGTACTGGTCATGGACTCACTAAATTGATTAGAAATTTCAAAAAGCTACAGATTTGTAAAATTACATTCAGGAGGTTCAATTTGCTTTTGGCTTAAAGAGTTTCTCATCTTATTTTAAGGACTTTTTTATGTAAGAGGAAATGAGCAATGCAAGGCTAATTTTTCAAAATACTAAATATTAATAGTGATTAGCTATTCTTTAGAAGAGGCAGCAACGAAAGGACTTCACGTGGAAATATAGAAGGAAGAGGTGATGAAGATACCCCACTGACAACATCCGACATCTACCACTGTCAACAGGAGAAACAGAAAGGAAGTCATTTCTTTTACTTACCTAGACAGCTTTGTTTCAACTACAGCTGGCGACGAGCCAAACCAGAACGTGTTGCCCAACAAATATGCAAAAGGAAATGAAGATGGATAGAAGACACTCTGGGAGGACTACAGGATGGCATCAAGCTCTGAGTCCTTAAACCAAACGGTGAATGAATGATGAGATGGTTATATGAATACTTAAATTTCGTTTCTGTGTCAATTTTGTAGCATATAATAGATTTATTTTGGGATGTACGTAGTTAAAGAGCATCCAAGAAATAAAACGAGCTTGTATTATCCTGCAAATATGTTCGTTCTTTCTTTATTCAAACTTGTTTGTTTATTTGTTATATTTACGCCACAGACGCGCGGTTTATAACTACCTTTTAGGTTATAGCAACCAGAAAGTCATACTGCAGTAGTTAATAAGGATCATCTTTCCACACGTCTACCTGTAAAGATGTCGTTTACCTGATGAACGAAAATGTATTGTTGACACTTGAAAGCAAAATAATGACAGTTGAATCAAGCCAGTTATGATTAGTAAGATTCTTCATCAAAACTGTTGAATTTAGATGCAGTATTATTCAGTGGAAAATACCAATGTAGATATGGAAGTATAAACTAGTAATGCAGAGAATGGATTTCTTTTTAAGTGATTTTATTTACTTAGCATACAACTGCAACTGTGTATACACACAGTTGGTTGCTACTCATTCACAAAGGGGAACTGATGACAGCTGATTTTGACTGGGATCTGAAAAATTTGCAGCTCGGAATCGTTTTATAAACAGATCGGTCTTTAAAGGAGGATTCTAGTTGAATAGAATGGAATAACGCATAAAACCTATATCCAAACAAAACATGCCATATATACGATTTATATGAGTTGTCTTAAAAGGCGACTTTCTTGATGTTCTCCTGTTTTCCGATACTTTCCAATATCTAAAAAGATAGACTACCAACTTCAGTTGTGTAGTACCTGTAGACCAAAATATGTAGTTGACCAGGATACGATTTATCTAATGGAGTCAAGAAACGTTATCTTGTATGTCTACAGTGAGTCTATTTTGGGTCAGTTCAGATTACTGGAAGTAAGCACGTCTTCAAGACTGGTCTCTCAGCCACTAAGGAAAAGACATTTAAATTCACTTACGAATTCGAAAGAAGCTTCCCCCAAAACTCTATGTTTTCACATTGTTTGTACCTCTGAGACCTCTAACACTCTTATAAGCGACAACTTTTCATCCACAGCTTTTACTTTGAACATGATTTAAAATTCAGTTGTGATCAATATCTTGCCGTCGTTTCTATTTCTGTCTTTTATTTTTAGTATCATAACTATCCGCATCATTTTCTTTGCTGTCTTTCACTTGCGTCCTTTGTTTATTACACCATATGAATTAGTACTTGTCCGTATGCTTTCTCCACTAACAGTTTGCTCCTAATATGCAACCAATAGTCGAATCTCACTAGTCTTGAGATATTCAGCTACATTCGGATTAATCTTCACTATACTGAAATATTTTGAATATGTTAGCCGTATTCCAAACTGGTTCCCTTTTATTCTATGCTTGACAAAGTTTTAAAACATCCTACAAGTCCTACCAGATGAAGAGGTGAATCTTATCTAAATCCATAACATAACTCTCGATTCAGGTAGTCATCACAGTTTTTCTCAGAACTTATAGTACCTTCCATTAATCAAGAAATATCCAAATAGACATTTCGTTAGGCTCTGTATGTGTACATGAATTTTCATTCTCTAATATTGCCTTCAGGTACGAGGCTAGCAACTCCATCCTGTAAAAATAAACACTGCTACAGAAACTTTAAGCCCCTAGCTTGAAGCCCTATGTTCCACTGGGAACGTGAGGGAAAAATTAATAAATTAATATTGCCTTCACCTGATACATCACTCAAATGCATCAGTTACACGATAACTCGATAACTTGACAGAAACTTATGGTGACCAACTTTTTCCATCTCAACCTCTATAATCACAGTGTGACCTTCTCATGAGAGAATTATTTCATACAGCTTTCCATATACTAGATTCTTTCACTAACTAAAAACCATTGTGGTAATATATTCAAATTTCTGTGAATAATCTTTTATTTAGTAAGAAGGAATGATTTTTAAAACAAACATATTTCTATTTTGCAAAGATTCATTATAAGAAAGGTTATTTATTTACGTTTTGAACACTATTTGTATCAACCCGACTTGAAGAGAAGAACGGCAACATTTTGCAAGTAGAAGTATATAAAGTGGTTCACTTCATGTGTCACGTAGCTAAAATTATGAAAATAAAATAAACAAACGTAAAAGATGAAATTGTGTTTTACACGTGAATGTGACTGTATTTATAAAAAAACATTTCCTAGTGAATATAACATGAAAAATAAAAAGTTACAACCATTTAACAAGCAATACTAACTATGCATAATAATTAGAAGAAACTTATCTCTGACATCTCGCTCTACGGAGTTACGGTATTTTATTAATATCTACAAATAACAATAGCAATTCAAGTTATATAAGTACTTGAGATACCTGGCGTAAAACCTTTACTGAGTAGCATATACTCTTTCATCTCCACTTAACTTATATTCTTCCAGATTTTTAAGTTGAATTTAAACAAAGCGGAACATGGGCCTTTAACATTCCGCGTTCATTTCATCCTGTTCTCTGCACTCTAGTTTAGCTGGTCCCACGATTATCCATCATCTCTCATTTCCACCTCATACGATTTCCATTTCCTCCTCGGACGCCCCACTCTTCATTTCCTGTCTATGTACAAATCGAAGTTTTGGCGTGCAATGTCATCCAACGGTCTCCTCAGTGTACGTCCAATCCATCTCCGCTTACTTCTGCTAAGCAACAGATTCTCGGTTGGTTCGTTTCCAGGGTGTCTTGTTGCTGATTCCTTCTGGCAATTTGATGTTTAATATGAAACAAGAAGAGCTGTTGGAGAAAGTCTTCAGTCGCCTGTTAGAAATGCTTTCTGTGATTCAACAAGTCTCTGAATTACATAGAAGAAGTGACCGACTTGACGTTAGTGTTGAAAGTCTGAATCATGTTCTGTATGTTGAATGCAGTAGATTTCCAGACTGACTTAAAATTAATGAGAGTCTCTTTTGCCATTCTAAACCTGCCTTTGAAATTCTTATCCATACCACCTATAGTGGAAGCTGGTTCATACTTTGTCCGCATAAGTACTAAAAGCAACTAAGAACATTTTAATAGAAGATATACTTAACTGTCTTCTGAACCAAGCAACCCTTCACATCTAGATATTATATAACATTGGAATGAGAAGTACGCTAAGTATATAGTCATGTTAAGCATTTTTATGGATAGGATTAACTGTATTTCAGTATTCGAAAGAAAGTGGTCAATCAAAACTGAAGTATGTTAGTACAGATGAGATAATGTAGAGGTTGGCTTAATTCGAATACATTTTATACTGATATATACTAGGAATAATTAATAAAATTAAGATTATCCGGTTGTTTCACTCCTTTATGACACTGGGTAACTACATCAGTCTACTTTTCATTCAGACTGTATACAAGACTAGTTACCCAATGAGCAAATCAAGACCATACTGGTTATCAAAGGATCTAAGATTTATGGATCATAATTGTGTTAGTAATTTAATTTTTGGTTACTTCATCTATTTACACCAGTGACACAATAATCAAATAATAAAAGTTCACATTGTTTAAAATTTATGTTAAATTACCATTAGCAGCATACATACCTTCCAAAGTTTCTTCCCACAATGCAATGCCATGTAGGTCCATATTTCTTATCAAATTCTTTTTTAACAAAAGTGGCAACATCTTTTTCAATATTATGCTCTTCCATAGCCTGAGCTGTAATGTCTACAGCGAATTGCTGCATATCCTCTGACATGTCAGCATTTTTAACTACTGCTTTTTTAAGATCCATTTTTGAAGTAAACAAAGTAATTCAATGCCCTTTTCTTGTAGACGGTAAAGATAATAATCACCCGGTCAAAGAGAGTATTACAGATATTGTTAAAAACCTCAATTTATAGCTTATTTACCTAGTTTGAGTGATCCAATCGATTTTAGTAGCTTAACTTCACATCGGTGGACATAAATGTAGATTAACAAACGATAAATAAATTATTCATTTTTGTGTGCCAAGATTGAGAACATTGATTGGACGAATTCATGTGCATGTGAATGCAGTAGTCCTGTTCGATGCAGGAGTAGAATCGAACTAAACGATATCGAGTTGCACACATAGTTACGAGTAGGCACATAAATATGTACAGTACATGCTGAGTTTCTCTCACCCTGACTAAAAGCGCTTTCTAATAAATGACTGAATAAAAAAACATGAAGTTAAGACTTAGATGTAGGCTACGAAATGCAAAACAGTAGAAGTATACATTTACAGACATACTTTTTGAAAAAATATTTATCAGTTTTGATAAACGTTTGGAATGAATCAAACTGACCAGGGAATTCGATAGTATGCTGTGTCAGAATGAAAAACTGAAAGAAAAACTATCGAAAATAAAACCATAGTGTAAGATTAGAGTTATGGATTTTCTGATTTTGAATGAGATAGACTAAGGCCTTACTTAGGTAACCGTTTTAACTCTGCCCACTTTGTAACTATTTTTGGCGGCCTTCTTAAGATTTGGGCTACCAAAAACCTGCATCATTAAATTGCATATATTTTCTGTTATTCAATTTGTTCTAATCAATCGAAATGTCATCGGTACTGGTACTATTCACTGTCTTGAGCATTTAAATTTTACAACCTGCTCATTCGCAAGTTTCTACTAAATTTGAGAAAAAGTATAGTCATAGGTTGCAACGTGTATCGATACACGGGATAACTCTTCTTGGGTTATATCCTTGGGTCCCAAGCTATACTCTTGAACTTTTTATAATTGGCTTTCAACAGAATGTCGCGCCTTTCTCAAAGGAGACAAAGAGGAGGTATCATAATGGATTGGTTTAGACTTCATGTCAGACAGCACTGTACCACGCTAACTATTGTCAAGCAATATTTTTATTTGAAGATTTTAGACGAAGATAAAATATCGTTCAATGAAATCTGCTAAAACTTCTGTACATTATATATAGACATTGTCCAGGATAAAGCTATTACTATTGTTACTTAATGTTACTACTATAAATCTAAACTCACAAATAATATACTGATTCTAAAGGTAAAATTCTAAAGAAGTGGACATTTTGAACGTATACATAAAGAAAAAATGGACAGTTTGTCATTTTTGTTGGAGATAATCTGTACAAATAGATTGTGTCCATTTTACTATTCGACAGTGCTATCAGAATGTGTAGTATTTTTTAAATATTTTTTTATTTTTGATTGCAGCTTGATTCCACACTGTATTTTTGGTACAAGTATGGAATTTTCAGCATGGATATCGGTAGCCCAAATTTTGCAAGCCGACCATAGATATCAGGTGTGCGTCGGCAGGGGATCGAACCTCGGACCATTTGCATGGTAGGCGAGAGTCCTAACCACTGTGCCACCGACGCACTGATAAGGTTGTATGAAGGGAGACACCGACTAGAAGTAATAAATGAACTATGGTGGATACAAATCACTTGCTAAGCCGTGAACTCTGCGTACAGAAGAAGTTCGTACAATCACTACACTTGCAATGGACTTAATCTATCTTATTACCCGACAAGAAAATTTTCACCTAATCTTTTTTTTCCTGTCTCTTCATTAGTATTATTTTGTCTTCTCAATTGTAATATTTTACATTTTCAACTTTCTTGTTCCCAACCCCCAGCCGATTTAATTTCTACACCTCACTACCACTGTTACTGAATTGACCAACGCTAAGTTTCTAGCCATTTATCTTACGTCATCCAATTCATCAGCTCATTTTTGTCCTAATTTAAGTGGCATTATTCTCTAACTCACCTCTACTTAGTCTCTACATGTATTTAACTCTGTTGCTATCCTGACCTAAGTTGAAACATTTTAGTTAGGTATATTACGTCACCCAACTTATTAACTCAATCTTACTTTACTTGCTATCTAATTAACCTTGTTTCTGTATTAGATCATTCTTGTATTACCTGATCAATTATCTAAACTTGACAAACCTCATGTACACACGCACACGAATAATTATATATAAATGGGGATTTACAGCTATGTGAATGAATTCGCCGAAAAGAGTCTCTTCGCTGAACGTCATCTCTTCTTCATATGGCTCTATGGTGGATAGCCAAAAGTTATAGTGGAAAGAAGCAGAATGTGACTAGTTCATATAAAAAGATTTTCAAGATGAAAACAGAGAAACACGGATACGTCTGCAAAACGTTTACCTTACTCACCTCTTTAAAGCCTAAATTTCAGTATTCCTCAAAAACTCTTGATCATTCATTTGTCTTACCATGGTCCCGTCCTCTAATCTATACCATATGTGATTTAAAACTAATTAGTGACATATGCCTATAACTACCTGAATTATCTATCCTCTCTAATCTGCCCCTTATACTTCATATATCGTCTCCATCATTTTTATGTTTAGAAGTGTCACACATGATACAAGCATTGCTGTAATGGTGCTTCTTATTTTGACGGTTATTAGTGAAGATTTTTTTTCTACAAATATTAATCTATCATATAATAAAGATTTACAGAGCTAGGGAATTTTCCTGTATTATAAATATAAGCTTTTATGTCATTTATTAAATATAAAAAATTAAACGTGAAATGTGATTTGGTCAAATGATTCTTAGAAAAATGTTTCAAAGTAATATTTGATAACACTTACAAAAGATTACAATATATAAGGAATTTATAATTGTTTATTTATTTAATTATGTGTACGCTTTATGTGTTATAATTGGTCAGTAATCTTTATTTGCTTCGGATTCTTACCTAACCGATAGAAATTAAAAGCTCTGAGACGATATTCATTCAGCTAAAGTTGTAGTTAGGTGTAGTCGCAAAATGGTGAAAAGCATAAAGCCTAGTTTGAAAGCTTCATACCTGATGACGTTTATTGCTGATTTCAGTGTTTCTATGCACCCCTTACCTTAAAAAGTATGAGCAAATATTCCTGATCTAACTGCAAGCATTTTACAAAGTTATTCGCCTCTAGTTGTATACTAAAGAATACTGGGTTGCAACATTTTAATCAATTAATTCATTCATTCATCACCATTGGGTTACGAGTTGAGAAAAAGGCTTCAATAAGACATACAGACTTTATCCTGGTCTTTGCACTTCTTTTTAGCCACTTCAACGATTGCCCATAAGCCCTCACCTCCCAACGATCTCCCCTATGTCGCTCGTGGATATCCTACTCAGTTTTTCCTGTCCGGTTTCCACTCATGCGTATAGGATGACGTCATCCAGAGGTGTCCTTAACGTGTCGCTAATCTATCTCCATTTTCTTCGGTATACTTTTTGAGTAATAGGTTCTTGCTGCGTCGGTTCGTTCCCTCAATTTCCTATTGCAGCTGTTGGTAGAAATATGCAGCTTGTTAGGTGTGCAGTACAAGGTGCGGATGGATGAGAAACATGTAAGGTAAGGATTTCAATCCTTTATATTATCTTATGTCCTCTTTTCGTTAGAAGATTTAGATGTATATTCATAATCTTTGTCTGTTCATAGCACAAGTATGCAAAGAGCATCATCTTTAGAAAGTGATATTTTCAAGCCACTGATACCATAAGTTTAAAATAAATTTTGCATAAAGATTGATTTCCCTCTACTACTTGTCGCGCAGTATGTTTTTCAAATTGAATTTAAAGACTTAGAAATACGAAAGTGAGAATTCAGAAAAGTAGATGTGACTGTGTAATTACTCAGGAGTTCCGTTTCCGAAACACTTCTGGTGTCGCTGAAGTAGAAGATATATGAACTAGCAAATTACAGTGTTCTTTTCAGTTAAAGTATCTAGCATATGATATTAATTTCAGAAACTTCGTGTATTTTCATTCTTATTATCTAAGATAAAAATACAATGAATTTAATCACGTGTAGTGTTGTGCCATTTAGACATATTTCAGTTTAAACATCTAGGAAGAGACAACTGAATTGGTCGATACGTATTAAACAATTAGTAGAAATAACACGAGCACTTGGATCCCCTCATCAGCAGTTTTTAGTTGGCTTACTTCGCATTCCATATCCATTTTATACCGCCCTGATCAATAGATTTTAAGTATTATGACCTGCACGAACTTTATTTTCGGTTGAAGACAGAAGTCTATGCCTACCTGATTTTTCTTGAAGAAATGAGTTTCATTACCCACTTGTCAGCTGGAACTTCATCATATAACTATGCATGACTGTGGTTATTCATTTTACTCGAGTATTCATCAAGTGCAAATAGTACTTTTTGAGAAAGAGACCAAATTAATTTAGCTGTGATGAGTTTGTTCACCAAGTGCATTTCACATACACAATTTTGGATTGGTTAAAAAGTTATCATTGTAGAACTTTTCAAGTTAAAACAAATAATGGACGTTGAAAGTTGAATTTTCACTCTGAGGATTCCCATCTCGTTAAAAAATATTTTTCATTATAAAATATTAAAACTCTAGTGAAGCTTACTAATGATAATTTAAGGCAAAGAAATTTTTTGATAAAAGTAAGTTTTAGTCATGCGCTGATGATACATGTGATTTCTAATTTCTGTAAGTGTTTTTTCTTTCTTTCTATTTCTCTTACTCATGTGTTTCTTATGTATCTACTTAATCACAATCTCATATAAACATAGTTGGTAATTGTAATTGAATGTAGAGAAAACGCCCTATATATATATAAATTGTATGCAAAGAAATAACTGACAAGCATAAACTTTATCAAATATCAGTAAACTCCTCTTCTTATTCTCATTAGATATCATGTCACCACACAGAGCTATTGTGAAAAATACAAATCTACCGCCAGATATGCAAGATCAAGCAGTAAAGGCCTGCTTGAAAGCAATGACAACGTGTAGACATGATAAAGATGTCGCTGCGGCTATAAGGAATACATTTAATCAAAAGTATGGACGAACATGGCATTGTATTGTTGGAGGCAGTTTTGGCAGGTAATTCGATGGAAATTTGTATATGCGTATATATATATATATGTCTTTTACATTGGCTTTTGAAATGTTTCAGTACTGGTAATTTTAAGTCCCAGTTTTATTGTATTAATGACAATTTTGCAAGTGATTTTAAGCGTCTTTTGTGATTTTGTTAATAATCAGTTGGTTTGGACCAGTTTAAGAACTTTTACTCAACCAGTATACCATGTTTAATTAGTGATATTTGTCTGTCAGGATTTATACTGAAATATATAAATACAAATCTGAGATAGTTTATGAATTTATAGGCAGTCGAGTTTTTATGAATACGATTTTATAGAAGTAGAATTTAGTGTCACTTTGAACATTTTTAGATAACATGTTACTTCCTGCTTCAACTTGTTTACCAAACGAAGAGACACACGGGGAAAAAACGGTATTTGTATTATGTTGCTACGTGTATATATCCCCTGAAAGACAAAGTAATTGTTCTAAGAAGACCAGAAAACACATAGCAAGCTGAATTTAGAACAACAGTTAGATCGTTCACAGTACGAAGTGTTATTTGGGATAAGCTAGCTTAGCTAACTAGAAACCGCTAACGAACAACTGAAAGTAACGTGATAATGTATTAAATGGCCTTGATGCCTGACTATACACCTTCAGCTTATCCAGCCGACTAAAACAGTGATGGTCACCATTCAATATTGCAAAAAGTAAGCCATAAACTAACAATTTCAAGACAGAATTCACTGTAAAAATACATTGTGTTTCAAGTTTTGTAAAGTAATACGAAACCCTGAGTGAATTCTTCCACAGTGGTCTTTCAGCTATTCTGATTTCTGTCTTCAGCACGTTCAGGTTTATGTTTAAGCGCTTATTACTGAGCAACTAGGGATACAATTAGAATAGGTGGTGCATTTTTGAGATAATACTTTATTAAACAGAGGTTCCAGTATAGATAAAGAGTATATCAAGGTATTCTTATTAAATATGCTGGAGGTAACTGTTATGTACTAGTTTTCCCTGTCGCCAAATTGTTATGTACTCGTCGCTAAATTGTTATTATGGTCTGGTCGAGAAACTAATAGTCCTGACGCGAGAAGGCGGAAATCAGAAGACCAGTAGGTTTGCGATGATACTTCTATTGTCCAAACACAAGGAGACGAAAATAAAATGGTCTCACACCAAAGTGGTAAGTAAAGTAAAGCCACAAGATTGTGAATGCGAAATATATATGAATGTTCCAGACAAAGCGTGGGAACAAATCATTAGACAGTCTTAACATGAATGGCTAATTATAATGGAGTGTCGATCCAAATATACATAGCGAATATAGCAGACATGTCAACAACCATATATGGATATATGTCACCAAGCAACGGACTGTCAACAAACACTCATATTATATATAATATAATATAAGGAGAATATACATTATTAAAGGAGACAAGTTCACACAAGTGAAATGGTCACAGACTAAGCGAGCAAACAGCAAGAGAGACCAACATGCACACACACACATAAAATATATATATGTGGATACATATCAGTAACATAGATTATGTCTCACTGTAATGACAAAATAGATGAAGGCGTTTAAATAGGTGTTAGGCAGCACATAACTGTTTAATTTTGAGATAAGTCTTTTTCACTTGAAAGACTTAAAAAGTGAAATTGTTCTTCTGGATTATAAAAGTGAACTACCTAACCTAAGTAAATTTGCCGTGAGATGACAATTCTTCCGATTCTTTTCAACAGGGTTTCTAAGCTGAAATATCTGTTCAAAATATGTATCAGTTTTGCCTGTTATGAAATCTGTCGAAATAATCGTTTTCAATGTTTAAACTGAGCACGTAAAGTTAATATTATTAAGGTGTGACTAATGACTTTATTATTATTATTATTGTATCCTTTAGTTCCTAGAGGAACATAGGGCTTCAGCTGCGCACCTCCATTGACTTCGGTTTTCTGACAACTTTTTCACCCTGCTCCAGGTCTGTCCACATGCTTTCATCTCCTCCTCGCATGACCTCCTCCAAGTCACCCTTGGACGACCAACTCGCCGCCTCCCTTTCGGGTTCCACTCGAGGGCTTGTCTAGTGATGTCACTTGATGGTTTCCTCAGCGTATGGCCAATCCATCTCCATTTCTTTCTGCCTATTTGTTTCACAATCGGTTCCTGATTGGTTCGCTCCCAGAGATCCCTGTTGCTGATCTTTTCTGGCCATCTGATCTTGAGTATTGAGCGGAGACAGTTGTTAATGAAGGTTTGAAGTTTGTTTGAGATGCTCTTTATGACTCGCCAAGTCTCTGATCCGTATAGTAGCACTGACTTCACATTGGAGTTGAAAATCCGGATCTTATTTTTGATGCTGATGCTGTTGACCTCCACACAGATTTGAGAGTAATGAAAGCTTGTCTTGCTTTTCCGATTCTGGCTTTGATGTCCTCGTCAGTTCCGCCTGTAGTTGAGACGATGCTTCCCAGGTAGGTGAAGGAGGTTGTTTCTTTCAGGTTCTTCCCATTTATGCTTATTGTGGTCTGTTGTGTTGTTGATGTTGGCTAGGAATCTTCATCATCTCTGTTTTATCTATGTTCACGTGAAGTCCTATCTTTGATGCTTCTTCTGCCAACTTGTTACTTTTCACTTGCATATCTTCCAGTTTATGGGAAATCAGACATATATCATCGGCGAAATCCAGATCCTCCAAGTCTTTTGTGTCAGTCCATTTTATGCCTGTTCCCTCGTTGGTTGCCGTTGTCTGTCGCATTATCCAATCAATTGCAATCAGGAAGATCATTGGTGATAGTAGACAGCCTTGCCTCACTCCCGTCCTCACTTCGAAGGCTTCCGTAAGTTTCCCGTTGTGGATTACTTGGCATGCAGCATTGTCGTATAACTGTTGGATGAGGTGTATAATTGTCGATGGGACCCCGTAGTAGCGAAGTAGTTTCCAAATGACCTCTCGATCGACGCTGTCGAAGGCCTTTTCAAAGTCGATGAAGTTGAGATAGAGAGGTGACTGCCATTCCAAGCTTTGTTCAATGATGATCCGTAGAGTGGCGATTTGATCAATACATGATTTGTTTCTCCTGAATCCAGCCTGTTCCGGACGAAGTTTTTCATCTAGGGCTTGTTTGATTCTCTCCAGGATGATGCGACTTAGTATCTTGCTTGGAATGGACAGAAGCATAATTCCACGCCAGTTTTTACATTGACTTAAGTCTCCTTTCTTTGGAAGTTTGAATAAGTAACTGTTCTTCCAATCCTCGGGTACTTTGCCCTCTTTCCACACCTTCTCCAGCAGTGGTGTCATCAAGTCCGCTGTTGTCTCTGGGTCTATTTTCAAAGCCTCTGCTGGGATTCCATCTGGTCCCGGTGTTTTCCCAGCTTTAAGCATCTTGATTGCATTCAGGACTTCTGATTTCGTCGGGGGGTCAGTGTTCACTGGTAGTTCTGCTTCCGTTGTTGGTATTGCTGGACGTGTTGTAGGTGGCGGACGATTTAGAAGTCTTTTGAAGTGTTCAACCCAGTGCTTTCTCTGTTCCACCTCTTTGGTGATTGACTTTCCATTGTCGTCCTTTATTGGCTTAATCTGTGTCGAACGTTTGCCCGAAAGGTTCCTAGTTGTTTGGTAGAGTGTGGCGAGGTCTCCTTTGCCTGCAGCTTGTTCTGCTTCGTTTGCCATGGTTTCATAATATTTTCTTTTGTCTTCCCTGGCACTTTTCTTCACTCTTTTGTTCAGTGTATTGTAGCTTGCATTCAGCTCCTGTTTTTGTTGCTCGTCAGTGCACTGGATAATCTTTTGCTTCACTGTCCTTCTCTCTTCTATTAGTTTCCAAGTGTCCGTAGTGAGCCACTGTTTGTCCTGTCTCTTTTTTCTGCCTAGAATTTCTATGCAGGTTTGGCTCCACACCGTTTTCAAGTTGTTCCAGTGCTTTTCAACGCCGACCTCTTCGCTAGTGTTGATTTGTGTCTCGGCTTTGTCCTTTATGCTTGCAATGAAGATGTCCTTTGTAGCCTGGTCCTTCAGCTTTTGAGTGTTGAACTTGGCTTGTGGTCTATCTGCAGCTCCTGATTCCCTGAAAGCTTTTAATTTGATTTGGATTGTCCCTTGTACGAGATAGTGGTCTGAGCCAACGTCTGCTCCTCTTCTTGCTTTTGTGTCCAGTAGGCTGCGCCTCCACTTCCTTGAGATTGAGATGAAGTCGATTTGGTTTTTGGTTTGCCCGTCTGGTGACACCCATGTAGCCTTGTGGATATCTTTGTGCTTGTATACACTGCCACCAATCACCAGTTCGTTGAAGGCGCAGAAGTCGGCGAAGAGTTCTCCGTTTTCATTCATTTCTCCTAGAGCTTCTCTACCCATGATGAGTTCCCTTCCCGTATTGTCTGGTCCCAGTTTGGCGTTCATGTCTCCCATTAGTATTTTCATGTCGCCAGCTGGAGTATTGTCCATTGTTGCCTGTAGTTGCCTGTAGAATTCTTCTTTCTTCTCGAGGTCTGCGTTGTTTGTGGGTGCATAACATTGTATGATTGACACTTTCCTTCCTTTGGAGTTGAACCTGGCGGTCATTATCCTGGACGAAATCGCCTCCCATTGTATCAGGGCTTTCGTTGCCGTTGGTGACATCATGATAGCCACGCCCTCGGTGTGCGTGTGGTTATCTTCTGGGTGACCGGAGTAGATCACTGACTCACCTGTTGACAATTTGGTGAGTCCACTCCCATTCCATCTGCTCTCACATATTCCCAGCACTTGTATTCCGTATCTTTTCATCTCGTTGGCGATCTGGGCAGCTTTCCTGTCTCGTACATAGTTCGGACGTTCCATGTTCCTACACAGACTTTTTCTTTTGGTGCAAAGAGGTTCATACTGAAGTTTCTTTAGCAATTTTTGTTTACAGGGTGGGGTTGCTAGCCTCACGCCTGAGAAAAGAATGATTACATTAAGTAAAAGTTTAGAGAGAAGCAACTTTTTGGGTTGCTCCCCTCAAAATCAGAAAATAACACACAAACAATGAGAACAACATCAACAAAGGAAACAGTTCACAGAAAAAGGGCAAAAAGCGACGACAACTATACAATAAGACAACATGCAATATAGTTCAGTACAGTTAACTAAAATGATATCTTAACCATAAACTCACTGACTTGGAGCAACTTGAACATATAAATCCAACAATATATACAATTATAGATGTGTTTATGTTTAAAAATTCCACAAATCCAAACAGTGAGTTATGTGTATTATCTGTCAATAAGATTGTATTTTTTGGATTCAGTGTTCGAAAGGTTAATAATTGTGATAATTTCCGCAAACTCTTTGCATAAAATTTTAAGTAATAAGAGTTTTTATTAATGAGCAAAATGTAATGACTATAATTACATTTAAAAATTTTTTTCTTTCTTCTAGCAACGTGAGTCATATCGACACAGGACTGATTTACTTCTTTATGGGACATAAATCGATCTTGCTGTTTAGATCAGAAAAAAGTGATGTATGATAACAAATATCAAGTGAAGAAAATCTCCCAATTGATTTTGATAGAACCTTCAGATGCTTTCTTTTAGATCAAATTACTGAAAATTTTATAAATATATTATGCATGAAATTGTGTAGTGTTATTTGTTTTAGCAGTGGACACTAGTGATGAAAAAAACAGGAAGAAAGGAAGCCGTGAGATGTAAATGATCAGTGATCACAATATTGATTACCATGAAATGCTGAAATTTGACGTGAGCTTTTGAAAATTCGCAAGATAACTGTAACCTATTTGGAGTGCATTTAAATGAAGTTTGCATTGAAATTATTTAGCAAATTGCCTTGGAAAAGAAATAAGGGAAAGTAGTTTTTATTCAAAAGGTTTTTCATAAAGTATTTAGATTAAAAAATGTAAGGTATTATGTTCAATAAATATCAGGGTCTAGTTGAAATGCAACACTGAGTGGTGTTCGGTGTTTATAACCAATATTATTGATGGATAATCAGTATTAATCATACAAGTGTTTCATACACTTTAGAAAAAGGCACTCAGAAGAGTTAAAAATGCACCATTTTATTATCTGTAGGCATCGGTTACTTAAAAATAAACTACATTGAAGTCTCAAGTATGTTAGGATTGTCACAAAAAACGTTTTTTCGCCCTTAAAAACAGCACCCTTCAGCATTTTTTACAAGAATCCTCTACGTAACATTAAAAAAAGAAGATATTAATTAAAAGGGATTATCTGCAATTGAAAACAGTACTACTGATATTAAGTTTGAGATGGGACATAGGAATATGGAAAAGTAACAGTCAGTCCTATAAATATTTTCGAGTATTGGTTTTGTAGGGATTTTTGTTTGATTGGTCGGAGGATTTCATCATGAGCTGACATCAGTTAGAGAAACACTGGAAAACCTGGAATTACCGGACAGCTAGTTTGGGAATCCTCATCAGCATACACCCTCTGGGGTTCAAACCCAGGACCAGGTGGGTGCGTATTGGTCAAGAGTCTCAAACTAGGATTGAAAAACTGTACAGTACTTGCAGATTTTCCAGCAGTTCTCTAACTAATGTCAGCTCATGATGAAATCCTCCAACCTATAAATATTTTTATTGATTAAACGCATTTTGTGCGTCGGTGGCACAGTGGTTAGGACTCTCGCCGACCATGCACATGGTCCGGGGTTCGAGCCCGCACCGACGCACATCTGATATCTATGGTCGGCCTGCAAAATTTGGGCTACCGATATCCATGCTGAAAATTACATACTTGTACCAAAAATACAGTGTGGAATCAAGCTGTAAATCAAAAAAGAAAGAAATAACTTTTCCATTGAGCCTCTAGTATGATCCGGTTGATATTCAAAAATATTTCCTCAATCTGCAACGTTTTAAGTATTTATTTATTCGTATATTTAGGCTTTAAAATAAAAATGATTATTGTTACTATACCCTGCAGAAGCGTGTTAGTTTACAAAACACCAAATTAAACGATGGGTGAGTAAACATGGTCAGTATCACATGAATATCACGAATACATGACACAACTATAAGGAAAATAAAATACACGATTCATTTCAAGAATAAGAAATTTAATAAAAGAATTTTGTAAATGAATAAATTATTTCTTTAAATGCTATACAGTTAACTAAGTACGTGTGTGCATACGACTATGGCCACCTACAATGACAAGAATCTTAAATTACTTTCTAAAGTCCACATTATTTTATAAGCTTCAAAAGCTGCTTAGAAACTTTCTGTAGAGTGGAAAAGGAAATGTATTTTATTCTGTAACAAATGACACAACAAAACTAAGTGTTTGGAAAAAATAAAAAGGGTATTTGAGCTAAAAGGAATTGGTATCACATTCAACACTGTCTTGTGTAATAACAAGAGGACTAATAGTGATGGAGTAATAACCAGGGGTACCGTTAAGACCAATACGTGATATACGAAGTTCTCCTTACCATTTTCCAGCTAAATGGTTACTAACAGCAGATGGTGAAACATAGTATCAAAGATGCCTCTCAATTTGTAGACAAAATCAAAGATATTAAGATCAAGGATAAAACTATGATATCTTTGGACATAACATCTTAATTCACAAATGTACCTCTAGTAGAAACAGTCAAATACATATGTGAACAAGTGTATAATCGGTCGATAAAAACTAACATCCCAATGGAAATCTCAAAAGAATCGTTATTAAGGTGTACCATGAGCGTAGACTTCAAATTCGATGGCACAATTTACAGACAAGTGGGTGGGGTGGCGATAGACTCCACTTTGGATTCTATCTGGTAGATTTCTATGTAAGTAAACTAGAAAATGAACCTTTAAACAGCCTTATCAAAAAGTTTTGATTGTATTGCTAGTATATGGATGATACCTTTGTTCTTTGTGATGACAATAAATGGATAGGATTACAGTTATAACTCAGTTCATTGAAGTACATTCTGCTATGAAATTCACGTGTGAAAAGGACTACCAGAATAGAATTGTCTTCCTAGATATCCTGGTTGCGTGAAGACCAGATGGTAGTATAAGCAGAAATTTGCATATGAAAAGCACATGGACAGGACAATATACACATTTTTATAGCTTTGTTCCTCTCCAGTGCAAAAGAAATTTATTAAGGACCCTAAGCTACAGAGTTACAGCTAATTGCTAACCAGTTAAGAAAATTTATTCAATGAATTTTTAATGCTGGTAAACTACAAGTCATGTTTTCTATACGACCGATGGTGATTCCTTGACTGAAATATGAAGTACCTAGACTGGCCATTTCTCATTGTATCTACCACTTCAACTGCGCTTGTGGTGGAGCGAGTTATGTTGGCCATTGCTCTAGGAATTTGATTTTTGGTGCTCGAGAACATCTCCCAGTATGGCTGAGTAAAGATTTAGTAAAAACCGTCCACAGTTAGATATTAGACCACCTGGTCCAAACCAGCCACAAGGCCATCATTGAAGAATCCTTCTCTTTCATCTACCGGGTACCATATAAAGTGCCAAAAACATCCAGGTACCTCATACTCCAAAGAGCATTGGCTATTGCAATTCGTTTGAAACAACCAGTCGCTTTGTGGGGAGAAGAAGCAAGTCCAGCCACTACTACTGCCGTGGCCAGCCTTCAGTGGAGACTGTAAATTCATGAATTTGTATTGTTATTTTTCCAATTTCTCTGATATTCCGTGTATTGTTATGTTGATGCTATTGAACTTTAATCCATTGATATTAATATTATTGATTCGATGTTATTTAAACGTGAATGTTAGTAATAACACCAATTCATTCACTATTATGTATATATAACTACAAAACCTGATGATGAACTTATCGAAAAGAGTATTCTTTGTTCACTAACAATTCTGATTGAGTTACATGTTTATAAATTGTACTTTATTTCTTTATTGTAACTATGCGTCCTTCAAAACCAAAGACGTGACTAGCTCAGTTTGAACTTTTGAGTAATTTTAAACAAATGGTCTAACATAAAGTTCTAAGCAATTAGGTATACGTATAATTGTTAGGATAATATAGAAAAATATAGAAAGGATAGATGATCATACACATTAGCTCAATACTTTGGTAATAAGTTGTAATGTGATTTAGACTAAGAAAGCATATTCACTGACAGACGAAAATTATTTCTGAAATTTGTCAGTGTAAAATATACACATCTGTATTGAAAGATTGAAATAAAGATACTAGAACACTTCGTGAAAACGGTTGGTTCATTAGAAATTTGATAATTTATCATCATATTTTTTCACTAACGTGATCGAAGTAGCATTTTCAATCATCTAGAGAATAGGATGCTCTTACACTGTGAAATTTCAACGCCTATGATTAAACTTTCATCATTTAAATGCATCCATTCAGGAAAGTAATTCTTCATAATATATATATATATATATATATATATATATATATATATATATATATATATATATTCCAGCCTTGCTATCAGCTGGTAAACTAGGGGTGCCCAGGTCAAGAATCGAACATTGGACCATGAGGGTGGTTAGCAAGTACTCAACCAAAGAGCCACTGTTTATACATACATTCTGAAAAACTGGCACGTGAATAATCACTAAAAATAAAATAGAATATGATTCCAATAGATGTGTCGTGGTAGAGTTTTATGGAACAAACAGTATTAACAAGAGTTTGGATGACATTTATAAATTTTTAACCTCAACCATTATGCCTGCTAGCCTCAGATGTTTCGTTTTGACTAATTACTGTGCATACATATGTAAAAATGTAATTATAATATCAGAAGACAAATATTGGGAGATTATTTCTTGAAATGTTAAACTGTGCCTTAACTTTCAAGTGACGGTTTTCCAGGGCATTGATTGATTTTAAATTTTACCATGTACTGGCTTCAGTGAATGAAGCCTTGAAAACTGGAGAGTACTGAACATTGCGCCCCGAAGACCACTGATGTGTCACACAGAGAGACATTTTAATCATTAATCAGGTTTCAATAAACCAAGCAGTACAGAACACACAAATTAAGAGTGTACAGGATCAGTCCGAACTCCAGCCACCATATTTATTGAAGTAAAATTCTTGAGCTAGACTGATGTAAAGTTCGTATTTATTAAATTCTCACATCATGAAGTATTTGATTATATCCTCACTCATAATAAAATAAGTGAAATCCAAATGACTTTACCAGTAAAATGTATTGAATAACCCATCCTAACATCACTAGTGAATATTAGAGCTTACTTCCAAGGGAAATTATATAGAAAACGATTGGTGGGTAATGAAGATCCAAATTCGACCTCTAATAAATAGCCTGCTTATATCAAAGTGAAAGGAAGGAAAAATTACATAAAGAAATGATATTAGATAGTTGGGGGCAATCGACAGGAAGCCTTGGACCTAGGTTTCGTGCTAGTTGGCACTAACCAGTCAGCAAAGCGTATCTGCAACTTTGAAGGAACTCATGTCCCTTCTGGAATTTGACCGCATCACCCAGTGTTGCAGTCAGAGACGTTACCACTGAGCTATTACGACTGGCTCGCGATCGACCTCCTGTAGGACTGTAGTGGTAATTTGATTGGACACTAGTGACTAGTGTGACGTGTCTAGTCCTTTCTTTGGTGCAGACT